ATATAACATAACATAACATAACATAACATAACATAATATAATATAATATAATATAAACAGAAACCAGGGAATTTTCTTTCTCAGTCCTCCTTTTATGTCACTTCCTGTTTCACTTCAGCTGTGCAAAGTTCAAAAGAAAATATGCCAATTATGTGATATAAAGGGTAAAATCATGTGTATTAAGCCAAGTTTTTACAATAGAAATATATTTTCTTTGACTTTTTGTATTTCATGGATATGTCACAGGCACTTTAAATCAACATCTGATTTATGTTTTTAAGGTCAGTTATGGTGGACAAACTGAGGATGAGATGTGCAAAAAGTTAATCAGCTGTAAATGCAAACCAAATAATTATTTTCTGCAAGTTCTGTTAAAATCCATCCTCTGGTTTATAAAATATTTTGCTAACAGACATGAAACATGATGATATCGCCCTCGGCGGCGGTGGTTTGCAGTTTTTCTCAAGGACATGTAGTAGGCTGCAGAATAGTTTACTGATCAATGTTTTACTGGACTCAGACTCAGGATCAGGAAGAACCGAGTTTACATGTCAGGTGATTTAAAAGAGTTCGGTTCGGTGCAGAACAGAACCAGGGACCATGATGCTCTGCGTGCGACTGCAGTCACTTGGCTCGGTTCCAGAAAATGGCTCTAATCATTTCCCCATCTTAGTTTCAAAAATGCATTTTTTGCTATCATTACTTTGACTTTGACTCGTTTTTTTTTTTTACCCATCGCCAAATAATTAATAATAAATAAAAAAATAATCTGAAAAACCAAACAAACCGAGCTGTGGTTTCCAGAACTGTCTCCTGTCCGGACTCAGACATGACTCTGCAGATTAGTCAGTCAGCACCGGTCAGGGATGGTCCTACCTCCGGCTCAACGTGTCCTCCTGTCCCGCTTTGATGTCTCCGGTCCAGAGGTGCAGCTCGCGGCTCTGCAGGATGCTGCAGGGTGCGTTCAGGTGCAGGATGCTGCAGGGTGCGTTCAGGTGCAGGACGTCACTGCGGACTCTGACTGATGCTCAGACTTTTTTCCTCTTCTCTCAGTCAGACCTGCACCGTCCTGCGGTCCACATGCACACAGGACGAGACTGAGCTCTGATTACGTAAGATTTGGACGGGATATATTTTTTTTAATTTTAGTATCTGTTTTTAATTAAAGAATAGTTGTCAAAATTATAAAAAAATGAAAAAGATTAAAC